ATCAATTAGTGCACGAAAGCTCCTAATCTTCCCACAAAGCTCTATCCCTGCCACCAGTTTTCTCCCTCATAGACAGGATATCATTGAAGTCCCCAATGCATAACCATGGGAGGACAGGACTGTTACCATACAAAGAGACTATATATAAGCTAAATAAGACAGGAAAAGTAAAAGATTATTTTACTCTTAATAAACAAAATAACCCTATATTTCTTAACATCTCTCATCAAACTCACGATGCAGCAACGACAAGCATCGAGAGTTTGCCAACTAGAAAACGAAAACGAGAAATAGAATGCGACTGGATAAAGAAATCTGCAATCTGCAAAGAAGAAAAAACAAAGGGCAAAGTAATGGTGTCATGCTTGAGATGATGATGAGTAAGGTGATAATCGATCTCAATGTAATTAGTTCGTTCATAAAAAACTGAGTTGTGAGCAACCTGAATAGAACTCTGGTTGTCACAATACATAGGAGTTAGATGAGAAAGAAAAACTCTCATATCTGCGAGTAACCAACGTAAACAAACAATCTCTTTGGTAGTAGATGTCATAACACGATATTCTGCTTCGGTTGAAGATTGAGAAACAATAGATTATTTCTTGTTCTTCCAAGAAATAAGAGAATCACTCAAAAAGATACAGAAACCAATAATAGATTTGCGATCTGTGGGACCACTGCCATTATCAGTATCAGAGTATGCGCACAGCTCCAAAGAAGAGGTGGATGGAAGTAAAAAACTCTGAAAGACTGTACCTCGAAGATACCTCAAAATAAGAAAAATCGCTGCCCAATGAACTGTAGTAGGAGAAGTAACAAACTGACTAACAACATGAACAACATATGCAATATCTGGACGAGTAATAGTGAGATATATCAAGCTCCCAACAATAGTACGGTATAAAGTAGGATCTGACAAAGGTAAACCATCAGAAGAAGAATACTTTGCATTAACCTCAATGGAAGTATCTACAGTCTTATTATCAGTAAGTCTAGCTCACTCAAGAATATCTGCAACATATTTCAACTGAGAAAGAAGATAACCTCTAGGTGAGCAGGCTACCTCAATACCGAAGAAATATCATAGAGAACCCAAATCCTTCATTTCAAACTGTCTAGCTAACTCTGTCTTCAAAACTAAAATACCACTAATATCATCACCAGTAATAATTATGTCATCAACATATAAAGATAGAATGATACGACCTGGATCAGTGCACTTAACAAAAGAGCAGAATCATGACTACTAAAAGTAAACCCAAAGGAAGAGATCACATCAGAAAATTTTTCAAACCAAGCACAAGGTGCTTGTTTGAGACCATATAATGCTTTCTTGAGCTTGCAAACATACCCAGAATCATGTGAAACACCAGGAGGGAGAGCCATATAAACTTCTTCTTGAAGATCCCCATTCAAGAAGTCATTTTTAACATCAAGTTGAGAGATATGCCACTGACGAACCGAAGCAACTGCAATAAGCGTACGAATAGTAGTTATTTTTGCAACAGGAGCAAATGTCTCCTCATAATCCATACTATACAGTTGAGAGTACCCTTTTACAACCAATTTAGTTTTGTATCGCTCAACAGATCCATAAAAATTGGTCTTAATCTTATACACCCAACGACAACCAACAACACTCTTACCAAGAGGTGGAGGAACCAAATCCCAAATACCTGTCTTATGTAAAACAGAAAGTTCCTCATCCATAGCTTGCTGTCAAAAAGGGTCAAGGATTGCCTCTTTATAGGAAAAGGGCTCAGAGAGACAATGAATAGAAGCTAAAAAAGAAGTAAAAGATAACAAGAATAAGTAAAATTTGGTAACTTTGTGGACTTACGAATGCGTATGAATTGACGTAAATATGGATCCACAATCTCAGACGGAGCTTGAGGGACCATAGGAGAAGAGGTAGCTTCAGGTGTGCTAGAGAGTAAAGTGTCAGTACCTGTAGAATGATCAGTGCTGGTATTTAAAGTACTAGAAACCTGAGATGACAAACTATCAGAATCCTCAGAAAAATGATCTATACAAATAAGATCAGATCTAGTCAAGCTACAAGTAGTGGATGGAATAGAAAAGAAAGGTATATGCTCAGGAAAAATAACATGACGAGACACATAAAATTTTTGAGTTATTGGATCAAAACAACGATACCCTTTTTTACCTTCACCATAACCAAAAAAGACACAAATAACAGATCGAGAGGACAGCTTGTTGCGTTCAACATGAGGACGAAGAACGAAACAAGTACAACCAAAAACTCTAAATGAAAAATAATCAGGGGCATACCCATACAACTTTTCGAAAGGAGAAACACCTGAAATATGAGAAGATGAAATTGTATTAATCAAACCTACGGCAGTAAGAACAGTTTCACCCCAAAACTCACTAGGAACAGAAGAAGACAACAAGAGAGAATGAGCAGTTTCAACAATGTGCCTATGTTTTCTTTCAGCAACATCATTTTACTCAGGAGTATTTGTACACGAAGTTTAGTGAATAGTTCCGTCTAAGGCAAGTAACTCATCAAATTTATTAGAAGTGTATTCCCCACCCAAATCACAACTAAAACATTTGATAACAGCAGAATGTTGAGTTTTGACAAGAACTCGAAAGGCTGTATATATCTCAAAGAATTCAGAACGATGTTTCATTAAATAAATCCAATAATAACGAGTATGATCATCAATAAAGGAAACATAATATCGAGACCCTCCTTTTGTGGCAACAGGAGAATGTTCTTATACATCACAATGAATCAAATCAAATGAAGAAGAATAAACAGAAATACTTCGATTAAAAGGTAAAGTTGAAAATTTTGTCAGTTTACATCCACTACAATCAAAAATGTCACAAGTTTGCAAATTTCCTAAAGCCCCTATGGATGCCAAAAATCTCAAACGAGAAGACGAAACATAACCTAAACAAGAATGCCATAAATAAAAACTAGAAGAAGAATGACCCAAATGAAAAGAAGATAAATCAACACTAGTAGCAGCAACTGACACTTTTAACTCATCCAAAATATATAGTCCCCCCTTCCTACGGCTTGTCCCAATCAGTTTCTGAGACTGCAGATTCTACACATAACAAGAAGAAGAGGAAAAGGTCAATAAATTTTCAGAATCACATAACTGACCAACAGAAACAAAGATTTAATTTGAGTTTTGGAATATGATAAACATTAGGGAGAGACAAGTGAGGTGTGACAACAGAACCAACACCTGCTAAAGGCATAGGAGTGCCATCAACAGTCATAACAGAAATAGAAGATGAAGGAGATACAGAAGCAAAAGATGAAGAATCTGGAGACATATGATATGAAGCACCAGAATCCAAGACCCATATAGAATGTGACATACCTGAAGAACTATGAGGCAACTGAACTCCTGAAGAAGAAGCAGACATAGCTTGTGGCCGTAAGGAGAGAAACTTCTGAAATTGCTCAGCCAAGGTACTAGAATCGATGAAAGGACCTGATTAAACTACTGCTGCAGTATTAGACAGTGGTGGTTTGTAACCCTGAGGTGGTCTAGGAGCATTAGATTGTGACTGGTTGCCAGACTTCCAAGTTTGAGATTGCTGCTGCTATTGATTATGCTGTCTTAACTTAGGACATTTAGTCTTCCAATGACCTTTCTACTTATAGAAATTACACTCGTCGAAGGCAGGCCTTGTGTAAGGCTTATTCTGATTATGAGAGAATAGTTTAGAAGGTATTGCTAACACAGAAGGATCAGAAGTAAAAAGAATTCCCTTGTTAGAATAAGACTTAAGACATATCTCTTCAGCCAATAACTCACTAACAACTGAGTCAATAGAAGAAAGTGGAGAACGATGCAAAATTGAACCTCTAAGTCCTTCAAAATCACTACGAAGTGCCATTAAAAATTATATCAATCGTTGCTGCTCTCTACGAGCAATATAGGCACCACATGCCTTTAATTCAGCCGATTCTATAAGAGCCAATTGATCCCAAAGATTTGTCATAGCAAAATAAAACTCCTGAATACTCATATTCTTCTGCTGAAGAGCTCGTATGTCATGCTTCAATTGATACTGTTTTGCAAAATTTGATTGAGTGAATAACCTTTGCAGATGATCTCAAACCTCATTTGCTGTCTCATACTTTGCCAACTGCGTACCTATAGAATGCTCAATAGAATTGTTGATCCAAATAATAATTTTTACATTGTCTGCTTCCCAGACATCTATCAAATCAGCATAACCCGCATCAGTATTCTTAGGTTTCACAAAAGTTCCACTAACATATCCCCATAGTTTTTTACCCTTAAAAAAATTTCTCATCACATAACTCCAATACGAATAATTCTTTCCTTCCAACCTCACACTCACAGACTGAAACGAATTGTCTCTTGTAGTAGCCATAATCAACAAACAAAGAAAATCATATTACAAAAATGAAACAAATATCAGATTGTAAAAATGGAACAAATACCAGATTACAAAAACGGAACAAATACCATATTACAAAAACGAAACAAACTGTGTAAACTGTGTTTGAGATTAAGCCTTGTCTCATAAAACTTTGCTCTGATACCATATTGAACAATCTAAAGAAATACAAGGAAGTAATTTAATACTGTATAATTTAATTAAATACTAGGAAGTAATTTAACTTAAATACAAATAGACTATATCTAAGGTAAATAAGACAGGAAAAATAATTATTTTACCCTTAATAAACAAAATAACTCTATATTTCTTAACCCTGTAAGTGGTCGCCACTGCATATATCTGGTCTCATAGTCTGGGCGGCTATAAATAAAGGACAGATGCCATGGTCCCATCCCTTGGCTACTCCAGAGCGTAATATCAATCTGGTGAGTGTTGCACCTTCAATAACCAACTGTACCTCTCTCATCCACATAATACATAATCCACCCGACAAGCCACGAGGCTCAACAACAACTTTCCCAGCAAACTTTAATTTTCTTCGTATGCCTTCCATCCTCGTTCTATTCATCTTTGTTTCACTAAGGCAAAGAATATTGGGTTTTTGGTGGACACAAAGGTCCTGTAGAGCTAGAACTGTCAAGGAACTCCCCAATCCTTGACAGTTCCATGCAATAATCTTCATGGAGAGGGTGGGGGGACATGGTAAGGCTCGCCTCCTCAGCCATCTCTGTCTGGTCCTCTATCCACTGGATGCTAACTTCATGGAGTTGAACATCCCCTGTTGTTAGCTGCTTTTGAATTGCATGCTTACTGACAAACTTCCTAACCCTTCTGCTGCCAGAAGTGGCTCGAATCACCTTCTCCTCAGACTCTGCAACTGTCTTAACAGCTGTAGCATGGGTGTCAGGAGCAGCTTGGCTTGGGCACTCCAATGCCTGACTTGGACCCCCCAATTCTGATGAGTCCCTGTTCAAGTTACTTGTGGATACCATAAGCAAACCATCATCACGCCTAGTGACTTTCATAGGGCGCCCTTCCATCTTCTCCTCATGAAGCTGCCTCTTTAGTGAGAGTCTTTGAAACACTCTAGCCATGCAACTATCTAAAATTCTTTCAATCTGAATGGACACTGAGGGAGTAGGAGGCCTTCCAGAAGAAACATTTTCACTTGGATGCGGGGCTTCAGTCACAGCTAGGCTTGGGACATCGGGGCAAACCAAAGATTGAACCACCATTGAGGGTTCAGTAACCGTATGTTGTTCCAAGGAGGCACTGTCCCTCCGCCCACGAAGGAGATGACAGAAAGGAGAGCATCCTTCCTGCAACTCCCTGACAATGGATTCCAACACTACACTACCACATGTGATGTCAATTGTACTCGGTGAATCTCCGTGCCCCTTGACGCTCGTCTCTGTAATAGGTCGTGAGTGCGAAGATTCCTTTTCCAGGCTCCACTCCTCTGTTTGTCCCATTAGAGAATGGAATCCATTGCGTCCCAACCGTACTTTCGCTCCAGCGGCTGGGATGGCACCAGTGCATCAGTCCTCTCTGTTTTCCTCTGCATAAAATCCACCCCTCCATCGGCTCTGAGATGAGGACCATAGCCTCCAAGACGCTCTGGTGGGGGCGCATAACCACATGCTTGTTTCTCATGCCCCACTCGCCCACAATGAAAACAAAAATCGCTTAACCGCTCATACTTAAGAACAATTTTTCGATCTGGAAGGGTTGTCCTCGGCATCCAAAAGTGGGTAGGTAAAGGTTGCATCAGATCAACAATAACCCTTGTTCTGATATAATTGCGCCACAAATTCCTCTGAACATAACGCTGCTTGTTTGCCACTGGGTCCCCCAGTTCTTGGGCAATTCTATAAGCATTGGCATCCATAATCATTTCTGGAGGTAAACCATGAGCTTGAATCCAGAACGGTGAAGTCGTAAAAACCATTTCAGAGCTTAACATATCAGATTTCCACTCCTTGAGGACCAGTAGTTTACCTTTCACTGACCAAGGACACACCTCAAGAATCCTGCGTCTCACACTATCATTATTGAAAACAAAGATGTAAGAATCCTGCTCCCCATCTTTAATTTCCAGCTGTCCATCTACCTTCCATGCTTTCCTTATAATCGTCCGCACAGCATTTCGATTGGGCTGTTTATCAGAGAAAATCTTACCCACCAAACACGCCTGGGTTACAAATTCAGCCAAGGGAGTATCAGATTGAAGGTTAATAACTGGAGCAGGTTTATGGATATTTGAGGAAATAGTGTCTGGGTAGTGTAAGGGGCTAATACTTGATGAGGGTTCAGGGGATTTCAGTGGAGGAAGGGTGGATAGAGGATCCCGGTTAGCAGGAAATGTAGGAAGGGTTGGAGTATTTCGGCCCACGCTTATCTGTGGATTAGGGTTTGAAGTTGAAAATGTGGGTTTAGGGTTTGAAGGAGGTCGTGGGGGTGTGTCCATTGGCGAAAGGAGACACCAAAAACAACGTGCAGTAAGCAGAGCTCACAAAAGAACAGGGGAGAGAGACGAAATCTAAGAGTATTCACAATGAGGAGCAAAGGGAGAGGAAAAAAGATCAAAAGGGCACTCAAAAGTACACCGTCCAGTAGGAAAATACAAGAAGACAAACCATACCTTTACCGATGTTCAGGAAACCGACAAGGGCAACTAAACAAGAAGGATAAGAACCTTCAGCAGAAACATCCACCGACCTTCGGGAAAAGAGGAGCTCTACAGGGAGAGAGCGAATCAAACTTAGTTTTATAAATGTATACTTTTTGGGCCATTCATTGTTAACTTATTCACGTTTTTTTGAGTCAGTCTACTATTTATTTATTTACGTTATTATTATTGATCCAACTTCATGAAGAATTTTTTTTTCTGAAAATAATTTTATTTAAGTTAGTATTATAATGATGTGTTCTTAAACTCCTCCTATAGTTGTAGTGTAATCCATTAGGGGTTTTATTGATTCTTGAAATCGTAAATATCTTCATTCAATAGCAATGATATAATTTGATAATGTTTTTCTTTCATGTTTAATATTTTATTGTTTGATTATTAATCAATTGTGAATATTATTGGGTGCTTGATTTTGAATGTTTACATTGAGAAAATTCAGTGATGTTAAATGCTTTCAAATGGCACGAATTTTTTTTTTTAACAAAAAGCTTATAATAAATTTTTTATTTTGTTTTATGTTTATATACTATGCTTACCTAATTTTGACATTTTGTCTTTAACAAAATTTTTAAGTATTAAAAGTAGCATAATCAAAAAATTAAATTCATTATCTTAATTTTGTAAATTTTGAAAAAAAAATTAAAATTTAATTAAAATATTTGGTTCCCACCTAAAAATAATTTTTTTGACTCTGCCCTTGAATAGTACGATAAACGTCATGTGGTAGGGTTGAAGTACCTAGAAGGGAGGCAATGAATATGAAGCCAAAGTTGGCCTGCAAAGCCAGGAAAAGACACTACCGTTTAAAGAACATAGATGAAAGGCATCTCTCGAGGTGAGCAGACACAAACAAAAAAATGGACACCAAATTCAAAAATAACAGACAAATTATTTGAATTTCGGTTGGAAGACTAACTTGGGATCCGTTCGGTTTGACCAACAATTTGAACCACACCAAATAATTTTTTTTCAAAAAAAATTATATTTTTTTAATCCAAATTCTCTATGGTCGTTGCGAGACAGACGAGCGTGCATGAATAGTAACCACTATTTTTTTATAATATCTGCGTATCATACAAATTCAACACTAGCAAATTTACATTCCATTCTTTTGAGTTGTACCATAGAACATAGGAAGATTCGGTATCTTTTAACGAATAAATTCCTTTTGGTACCATATGTCACAGATTTGACTCCTTTTGATTGTTACGCCACGGGATCCAATACACGTTTTATATAAGAAAAGTGTAAGATCATTTCTTCTTTTTAAAATGTGAATCTTTGATTTTTGCACAATAAATGAATTGGAAAGAAATCTTTTCTGTGGTAAACTTGTGTTCGTCGAGAAAATGATAGATCCCGCAAGAATTAATAGGTTAAGAGGGTCAAAGGGACCCTAAGGAATTGTGATGAATTACTTCATAGGCTGTCTTATCGATTCTGACCGGTTGTTGACTGTTCCTGGCAAACAAAAAATCAATTAGAAGGGTGTCGGAGTGTTTTTCGGTGTATCCCTTCTAACGATCAAATCAATACTTTGAAAGAAGGGAAGAAGAAAACATTGTATAATGCTTGAATAGTAATTTTGCGTACATTTTTAATGTGTTTTTTAGAACTATTTATACCTTCAAAAACTCATCATTATTGATGGTCTAGACAATAAGTAGCGTCCATAAATGGGGCAATGTGCCTCCTATTTCGCATGGGGATCCCCTAATATTAATTGATCGGGATGCCAAACACTTAATATTTTTTCCTCAATACAGGGACATTAAATGCTCAGGCCCTGGATCATTTAATGTTTTTCCTCCTCAATTCCCAAAATTACTGTGGATGTCCCATCATGTGAGGATTTATTAAATGGTTGTCTGAAACAATTGTATGTCAACAAGGGTACTTTTGACATTTTACCCTAACTCTACACTCTATGCCATGTACCTAACTCTCCTTGGCTGAGTGTCTTGCTTATTCTGCCATCCTGGCCTCATTGTGCAGAGCACCCTCATGATTCCTAGCCTAGTTAAGATTGCTCAGTGGATGTTTCATCATGTGAGAATTCCTTAAATATTTGTTTGAAACAACCATATGTCACTAGGGGGTATTTTTTGTCTTTTTACCCCTAACTCTGCACTCTATGTCACTTGTCTAACTCTCCTTGACTGAGTGTCTTGCTTATCCTGCCATCCTGGCCTCATCGTGCAGAGCACCCTCACGATTCCTGGCCTAGTTGAGACTACTCAGTGGATGTTCCATCATGTAAGGATTCATTAAATATTTGTTTGAAACAACCGTATATCAATAGGGGTACTTTTGTCTTTTAACACCTAACTCTGTACTCTATGCCACGTGTCTAACTCTCTTTAGCTGAGTGTCTTTGCTTATCCTGCCATCCTGACCTAATCGTGCAGAGCACCTCATAATTCCTATGCTCAGCTGTCAATCATTAACTTTTTTAGAAGCAGGAGATACGTGGCAAGACCAAAGCTAAGTACTTATGGAGCCGATAACACGTGCCTGCCTTGGGGTGGAGGTATCTTCGGAGTCGAGGGATACGTGACTGCCAAAAAAAGGGGAATACCTCGGCGCTGAGGAGTGTGTCTTTGTAAGAGCAGAGGACGAGGGACATGGCGCCGAGGACACGTGGCATTGTCAGAGATAAAGAATGTCTCAAAGCAAGGACACGTGTCGTCGATTCACTCCCTTTTTAAAAGTGTCCCATCAATATCTATTTTCCATAATGCAAATTACATGTTATATTTTCATTGAAGAACGAGTAAAAATGCATCTTACCTCTGAATCTGATGATCGAATGTGTCTCATGTACACGGATTTTGGGGTCACTTGTCAAATTATAATTGTCATTCAAGACAACATTGATTCCAGTTGGATGGACGATAGGAATGAGAGATTAAAAATAAATGGGGAAATCACTAATAATGACTTATTTTTCTCTATTGAAATCTCTTTAAATTTTACTTTAAAATTAATCTGGTGACTAATATTAACACCCTAAAATTAGTAGAAAAAATAAGTCCTTAAATGTGTGTTTGAGGTAACTTTTTAAAAGTGTTTTTAACATTTATAATTTCTCATAAGTGCTTTAAAAAAAATTGTGTTTAAAATCGTCTCACTACCACCAATCTAACTATCTCACCATTACCACTACCGCCATCGTCGTCATTATCCCATTACCAGATTGGCCATAACAACTGTCGTTGTCACCACCACCACCACCATCTGCCCCACTGTCCCACAATCACCTCTACCACCCCTACCCCCACCTCCATCACCACTACCACCATCATGATCTCATTCTTACATGTATTATCACTATTATCATCATTCCACTATCACTGTTGCCCACCGCTACCCATCATTATCTGTCGTCGACCACTTCCGCCCCCAGCCATTGTCATCTATCCCCACCACACCTACCATTACCATCTGTCATCGTCCATCATTGTCACCTAACACTGTTGTCCACCCCCTACCACACTTACCATCACCTATCACATTATCGCCCACAAGCATCCGTCGTCACCCCACCACCACTGTCGTCATCTCACACCCACCAGTACTATCGCTGTCATTCATAACTGTCACTAGAACTATCATTACCCAAAATTTACCACCACTATTACCGTTGTCACCCACGGCTACCATCATCACTACGGTCGTCGTCACTCACCATAATCATCACTGTCTCCTACTACCATAATTACCACCGCTCACTTCCTATTATAATCAGTGCTTAAATTTATTTATTTATTTTTTATATTTTATGATTTAATTTTGTGTATGAATATATATATATATTTATTATTGACCATTTTATTTATTATTTCGTACCTTCAGACATAGACAATAACTAATTTTTTTGATATAATATACTACTGAAAGTTTATTTTATTATAGAATAATATTGCAATTTAGCAGCAAGGACTCTGGTCCAAGTTTTGAGTCAATACCAATAAATGGACGGTTCAGATTGCGAGATCAAATGGTCTACTATTTGTCCAGCAATGCACTGCAGCCATAAATGAACAACCAAACACTTCCTTGACGGCCTTTCATCTCAAATGTTTTTGGAATCTTACATTGACGTACGTCTCTGACTTGTCTCTTGCTTGTCCAAACCATACCTAAATACAAAGAGTAACGCTAGATAAAGAGTACCGCTAGAAGAATTTAAAAAATATATTTAAAATTTAAATTTAATAATTTTGATCATTGATATTACTATAGATTTTATCATTTATTTAGACGTATTACCTCTCTAATTTTAAATTTATCTAACATTTTTTAATAACCCGTGAGCTAGATTAAAGCGACAATTTTTTAATTTTCAGCACAATACGTTTTCGATTCTTCTTCCTTTTCCCATTCTCTGTTGCCTCTGTTTGTTGAAAAATCATTTAAAGAGAGACCCTCTCTCTCTCTCTCTCTCTCTCTCTCTAGAGAAGGGTGCTGTGAGATGGCGAAGAAGAGAGATGGAAGGGAGGGGGGTATGTACTGGGATGGGGTGATAGAGGGCATGCCTGTGTTTGTGAAGGAGCTGATTGCTGGGGGTGTGGCTGGTGGGTTTGCAAAGACAGTTGTGGCTCCTCTTGAGCGTGTGAAGATCTTGTTTCAGGTACAAGTATAATAAATACTTTTCTGTCCTGTTTTAATTACGGTTCTTAATTGGGTAATATAACTCAGTAGTTCTGTGTTTTCCTTTTTGCCCTAATTGAGGATCATTTGGCTTTACCTTCACTGATTTTAGATTGTGAGTTTATGAATGACATGTGGAATTAGTGAAAAAAGATTGCCTTTAAACTAAACCTCGAGTCTTTCTTGATGTTCTTGATTTCTAATTGGGAGAGACTAAGTTGATTTGTTCATTTCTGACATGATTTGAGCATCTTCTCTTAGAATATTGGCCTTAGTTGATTGTATACCAGAAATTTAGGAAGATGGAAACCTATGACATTGTCAGAAAGAAATTCATTATCATGTTTTTCTTTTTCCTATCTATTGCTAGACCAGAAGAGCAGAATTTCAAAGTATTGGGCTGTTGGGATCATTCAACAAGATTGTGAAAACAGAAGGGGTTCTGGGTTTTTACAGGTGGAATTTTGAAATGTCGTCTTTATTCGTTTTTCTGGGCATATTTGTTCAGATAAAGGTTGCATTTTATTGTTTGTTTCTTGTTTTTCTCTGAAGTTTATATGCATTTGCTGGGATTTGTATTCAGAGGGAATGGAGCTAGCATTGCTCGTATTGTTCCTTATGCAGCATTGCATTATATGGCGTATGAACAGTACCGGAGATTGATTATACATGGTTTTCCTGGCATTGGGGGAGGTCCCATCCTTGATCTAGTTGCAGGATCATTTTCTGGAGGAACAGCTGTGCTTTTTACTTATCCCCTTGATTTAGTTCGGACTAAATTGGCTTATCAGGTAAATAACTGAGAATGTGTAGTTAAGTTCTTTTCTTCCTCTTAATTCAAGCCCATGCAAGAAGATTTTGATTGTCATTTTAGTTCGGTCCTGATATCATATCTCGTGTGTTTATATTCAATTTGAGAATTTGGTTCCTCCTCGTGTTTCTGGTGAATTAAGTACTAATATGTAGATAGTGCTTCAGGTAGTGGGATCTACAAAATTGAATGTTAAAGGGATTCTTCCTTCTGAACAAGTTTATAAAGGAATTTTGGATTGCTTCTGCAAGACATATAAAGAGGCTGGGGTAAGAGGCCTCTACCGTGGTGTGGGTATGTTGTGGTATTCCTATCGTTTTGCTCTGATCCTGGCAAGGCCTTCTTATTTAACACGTGGACGAATTTTTCAGCTCCATCGCTCTATGGAATCTTTCCATATGCTGGTTTGAAATTTTATTTCTACGAGGAAATGAAAAGCCATGTCCCCGATGGCCACAAGAAGGATATCGCAGTGAAACTTGCATGTGGATCCATAGCAGGTTTGCTGGGTCAGACTTTCACGTACCCTCTTGATGTTGTTAGGCGGCAAATGCAGGTAGTTTACTTAAACTTAAAAGTCCAAGAAATTTGTTTACCTTTGTCTATAACTGAGAACTTAGAAGGATGAAGAGTAATGTAATGTACCTCGGCAGGTCCAGCGACTCTCAGCATCTAACAGTGGGGACATGAAAGGAACAATGGAAACTCTTGTTATGATTGTCCAACAGCAAGGATGGAAGCAATTATTTTCAGGGCTGACCATCAACTATTTGAAGGTGTGGATAAACTGTTTTACTCCTTGGGATTATTCCTTGTGATCGTTGTAGGTAATAATTTCTGGCGTGGATATGTGTTAAACTTCAGGTTGTACCATCAGTTGCAATTGGGTTTACTGTTTATGATGCTATGAAATCATTCCTCGGAGTCCCAACCCGAGAAGAGGCTGATATAGAAGTTGTGACCAACCGAAAAAATAGCCAACCATCATCCCTGCAATCTTAGAAACAATTCACCTTTTCAAACTCAGTAAGTCATTTCTAACAATGATAATGATCTTTGCATTGCCTTCTTGATTTGTTGAAGGCTGGCTCCTATTTGAGGCCATTTAAATTTGTACATTCCATTCTTTTGCGCTATACCATAGGACATAGGTAGATTTGATATTTTTCTCGAATAAATCCCTTAAGGTACCAAAGGTCACTGATTCGACGCCCTTTGATGGTTATGTGATTGGATCCACACACATTGTACATAAATATAGTGTAAGATCATTTCGGGATGTATATATGATTTCGTTTAAAATATATTAATGTTCTGTTCTTGAAATCTATTTTGAAATAGCAGAATTACATCTTATCTTTTTACCCAAAAAAAAGGTAAAAAAAAAAAAAGAATTGCATCTTATCTCTGATGATTGAATGTGTCTCATGTACGTAACAGTGTTGCACTGAGTTTTGGATACTTGTCAAAGTATAACCATCATTGGCAAGTCGACATTGATCCCAGTTTGGATGTATGGAAGGAACAAGAGACAGCAGCAATATTGTTCCTAGAGCACACAATATATGATAAATTTTAGTTCAGTTGTTACTTAGGCTAAGACCCTCTTTGGGGCTAGAATAATCTATCTGTATACAAGGATAAAACTCTGTAAATTTGATTATCCTCAATCCCATAGGAGCCGGTGTGCAACATTAGACTGCTCTTTTTATTGCCCGTGTGGAGATTTGTATTCCTCAATAGTCACCAACACACTACCTTGTCTATGAATGCAAGGATAGAGTCTCACTAGCCCCCATCCTTATAGTTACTGCGGCCAAAAAAGAAAAGAAAAGAAAAGATAGTCACTAGCCCCATTTGTGCCACTCAAGCATATTACTCTTTAGCCTCAGACAATTTCTTTGGCAATGATAAAGGAACCTCGTTAGAAATTCTTAACATAATAATACCTACTATGTTGATCCTAATCCCCTTATATATTGTTGTCCCTGGTTTTTTCTCTCTGTGATAAAGATGACTACGAAGAGTAGAAGAAAAATATCGAAAAGAGTAATGTTATACTTTAAATTGTATCACATCATTTGGAATGACAAGCTTAGTAAGAAATCTTAATCAGCACAACTGTTATATCAAAAAAAAAAGTATTATATTATATACCAGTGTAAATGTATAGGTACATGTGGATAGCACCTCTATCCCTAAGCATATACGTCTGTACCAACATACCAGAAGCAGGATGGCCTTAAAATAATTACAACCACCTTCACAGGCATACATAATAATATCTACAATTCCAAATTTCCAAAATAATCAAATTCAAATCATATCACATAATCAGGAAAATTCTGATCCATAGACACCGCAGGTTCGTCCTCAACCTCTACCAGCTTCGGCCTTCCTCCCACCAACCTCGCTGGATTTCCCACCGCCGTAGTCCTTGGTGGCACATTAATCAAAACCACTGCCCCGGCACCGATCTTTGCGCCCTTACCAATCTTCACATTGCCCAAAATTGTCGCTCCCGCACCAATTAGCACTCCATCGCCAATCTTTGGGTGTCGGTCACCTCCGGCCTTGCCCGTACCACCTAATGTCACCTGGTGGAGAATGGAGACATTATCGCCAATGACCGCAGTCTCACCCACAACCACTCCAGTTGCATGGTCGAAGAGAATGCCTTTGCCAATTTTTGCTGCTGGGTGAATATCAGCGCCAAACACATCTGAGACTCGGGATTGGAGTGCAAAAGCTAATGATCTTCGAGACTCTGTCCAAAGCTTGTGTGACACTCGGTGTGCCTGATGTATTACAAAGGATTGTTAATCTGAGTATTCAAGATGACTCCAAAAAATTACCAAAATTCGAAGATCTCTAGCCTTAAACTACCTTTTCAGATTTTCATCAAATACTTCGTCTAATTGAGATATTCACCAGATTTTATAAACAATACTGGCAACAGAATCAAACACCAAATGTTGATTTTATGAAACATTTCACAATATCTTGCTAAAATTAATGTAATTAAATATCAATTTCCATCAAAATTAGTAAATTTATCTCACCTGACAAGCAAGAAACCCCTTATAATTAAGCAAGCAGTGGGAGAAAGAAATACACGCCGGGTCACGCAACTTCACGGCTCGAAGGTCGGCCACGATGGCGGACCGGAGAGCCGCGTCGTTAGATAAGGTGTCGAGGAAGATATCGTAGAGCTGCGTTGACTGGAGCGTTGATGAGCTCAGCTTGTTCCCAAGGTGGAAGGCTAGAGATCTCTCGAGAGAGGAGTGAGAGAGGATCGTAGAGTAGAGGTAGCTCGCGAGAGCTGGTTCGTCGTCGGCGTCTCGTCGAGCCTCCGCTCTGATTTGCCTCCACACCAAAGCCTCTTCTTCGGAGGAGGTGGTGGTGGTGGGTGGTGGGGATGTGTAGCCGAGATCTCCGGATGGCATCGAATTGGGCAACAAGAAGGGGAGGAGAAGTGTGTCAATCGTCGTCTTCTAATCGATGGTCGGAGAGAGAAAAAGAGAGAGAGAAATGGTTTCAGTGTAATGCAAAGTTGTGGGAGGACATTGCGAAAGGGTAAGGTGGTGTATTTATAGCCGTCGATTATGTGGAAGTTGACGAGATTGCTTACAGAGGAAGGTGTTGCTGCCCAGGTGTTGCCAACTCAGCTTTTTGATGACGTGGCAATCCGCCGACTTTTCCGAAAAAGTCAATGTAAGCCCATGCCTAGGATCTTCTTTGTTAATGTTTATAAATAATTACATTAAAACCTTCTATGTTGTCCATAATCGTAAAGAAGAGCTTGTAGATTGTAAAATTGTGTTATACTCCCCCTAGGTTGCGTTCTATTTCACTTTATACTATGATACACATTGATTCTTTGATTAAAAAAATCAAGTACTTATTTTTCTTGTATTAAACATAAAAAAATCACTCTTAGAAAAAGAAAATAATTTGAACTCCAGAGTTGAGTAACCCACCTCTCGGTCAGGGCAGCCTAATTCAACCCAAAACCCAACATATCCCATTTTGACTCTCTCAACAATTTTCAACTTCCCCCATTATCAACCACCACAACGTGTATGTGTGTGGAGGCAATGGGAGATTAAGCTTTGGAAGCATTCGACGGTGACATAGCTGCGTGGTTAAGGGAGGGCTAAGGTTGAGCCAACCTGACAGGATTTGGGGGCTGTCCTATGAGTCCTCTCTGTTTCAATTTTAGTCATGAGCAAAATGACAATTGAGTTGTTTGTGTGACCATCATTAGAAGAAAAATTATGACAAAAGTGTTAATATAATTCTAAAAACTACAAAGGATACTTGTTGCAATCATTAAAACTATAAGGGATTGAAATATAATTTACCCGTAAATTGGCCGACCATAATAAGATACTTCCTGGAAAATGACATACAACCCCCCCCCCCCCCCCCCCCCCTCCTCCCTCAGGTTAACTATTCTCCTGGGTATTAAAGAAATATCAAGATGTTTCCTGGAAATTGTTTGGGGTTTTTATGTTCATAATAAACCCAAATGGAAGATGTTTCCAGGGAAGTGCATCTAACTTTAATAATTTAAGTGGTAATAGGGACGTGTTTGACAGAAGTCGGATTCAAAATCAGAATTTAAAATATTTAAAGTCTCTATAACATTACTTAAAAAATAAATAAATGGTTGATGTTAATCCATCAGAGTTTCTTTCAAATTCGGATTAAAAACGAAGATTGCGTTAAGTTGATGACAGTTAGCATATTTTTGATATTGGCTGATGCCATAATTCTAGAAGAGAAGGATTGACCCAGGCAGCCATCACTTGAAACCATCGGTGGTCTTGTCACCGACCAAGCGTTTGGAGATAAAACAGAGTAGTCAACGATGGATGAATCACCGAGGGGGCATCGTACACAATCCGAGTAAAATGGCCACGAGAAACATTCAGATACCCCCTTTAGATTGGTACATTCAAAAGCATAAACTTTCTTATGGTACAGGATTACACGCAATGTATAGATTTGAGAATGACTTAAACTTCTACACAAAGCAAGCTACAGTATCATAACCAAAAATCATTATTTGTAAACTTTAAACCTGAATTTTATGCGATCAAATAAACGTAGAATTTTGAACATATATGTTTAACCTGCGTCTCTTATTTATTTATTTTTTTTTTGGGTCAGACCTTCGTCCCTTATTAGATCTCCGAAATAAAAGTTTGCGAATTAAGATACGTGACTACCACTTTAACAAACAAAAAGAATCACCTCTTGGTCGGAAACAAGCTGGAAGGACCTTGTTTTTTTTTCGATTAGCTTCAATTTGGATGACCCTGACTCTCATTCCTTTTCTTTTTTTCTTTTTAAATTCCCATTTCATTTCTTTTCATTAGGTGGAAAGTTCAATTTTTTGCATGTATCTAACTACTGATTCTCTAGATTTGTGCTTACAGCATAAATTTTGAATACACACAAAAAATTAGAAATATCACCCACACTTAGGGGTGCAACTTGGGTTGGGCAACCCGATTTTAACCCGAGCCCAACCCGAAAAATTTAAGGCTTGGGCAAAGGTTTTTAATACTTTGGTCGGACTTGGGTCAAAAAATATCAACCCGAATTCAATTTAGGTTGGGCTCGGGTTAAGGTATCGTGAAGCCGAGTTCAACCCGAACCCGACAAATTAAAAAAAAAAATTATATATATAAAGTATTAGCACTGATTTTTCATTTTTATTCTATCGTTTTTTGCCTCTCTCGTTCTTTTTACCTCTCTCGTTCTCTCAGCCTCTCTCGTTAAAAATTTGGTTGAAGTTATTGGTTGTTAATTTAGGTGAATATTATGTAATATATGTATTAGGTTTAGAACAACAAGCCTATTTTGGGCTCTATCCGAATTGAACCCGTAAAGTAACCCGAAATCAGCCTGAAATTATCAATCCGAATTCAACCCGAGCTCGCCCGAATTAAACTCGGGCAGTGCTCGGGTTGAGTTCCCCAACCCGAGTTAGGGTTAAGGTTAAGATTGAAAATTATATATCTAGGGTTGGGCTAAGGTTGATTGTCCAACCCGCCCGAGTTACAGCCCTCTTGGTAATCCAAATATCCAAGCTATACCTTTTGAGTCTTTTCCTTTGGAGTTAGCCTCATGGGTAAGTACATATTGGTATACGAAATGTTATTTGGACTTAAAATATGGACTTAAAATGTAGACTTGATCAATCAAAATTATTGAATAGCTAGTAGTGGGATCTAATAAATATTAGGACCCATAATAAAATCTGATGAGCCCAAATTTGACTGGGTCAAGCCCAATCTAATTAAACCGAGAAAGTCCAAAAAAAATTTCAACTAAAGCCGGATCAACCCAGGAATCCAAATCACGTGAGCCGCTCGTAAATCAACAAGGAGTCAAGTGGAGCCCAAGTTAAGAGGCGGACGTCCAAGAGGTCAGCACCCGAAGCACCAAGAGCCAACGCCCAAGCACTTGGAGCGCTGCCCAGGGGTTCACCCAAGCCAGGCGCCGCCCAAGGTCGCCCTCTTGTCCTCCTACGTCCTCTTGACTCCAATACAAGTCCAGCACTCACCAACTCAAGTCCAGCACCCACCAACTTAAGTCCAGCTCAGGATCCTCCTCCGACGGAATAGGAGCACGAGAGAGAGAATATCAGGATACGGAGATCCAATCTTATTAAAATTGTACTTACCAAAATGGTAGAAACCCCCTTTCTCACGTCACCGCCTTGGTGAACCTATATAATAGAAGTTCTCTACACATTGAAGGCAGACCTTCATCACCTTGAGATCCCTACACATACTACACCTTCCTACAGACATTGCTTCTCTTCCTCTCCTTCTAAGACTTGTAATACTCCTGGAGAATACTCTCTGTGGCGATTTTATTCATTAATAAAAGACCCAGGCCACCGCTACCATTTCCGAGAGTGGAGTAGGTCACCCGGACCGAACCACAATAAATCTCTGTGTTGTTTCTTTATTTACTGTTTTATCATTAATTGCCTGTTTACTGCTCATTGACTGCCCCCATTCATATTCTTGACTGTTGATCTTGCGCAAAATCAATTTGTGCATCATCAGTTTGGCACCGTCTGTGAAAATCGACTAGTTTTTCTATCATTTCTATCCATGACAATCACTACCCGATCAATGAGCCAACAGTCAGGAGATAATAACCCGACTCATGGGGAGGAAGCTCCACCTCCCTTCATACCATCTGAACCATCTGCTACTATGACTTCCGCCGTGCAACAACAACAGCTCCTCCAAACCATGCAGTTGCTAATGAACCAAAATCAGCAGATCATCCAGTTGATGCTCGCCCAAGGAGGCGTCGCCCCTCACCCTGTGGAAGGAGCCCTACTCCCTCCAACAGGAGGAGAGCAACACCCTGTCCTTTCTGGGGGCCAGGTAGCCCCCCACCATGGGGCCCCTCGCTAGAACACCCTAGGGTCACGTCAAGGTGCCCCTCGTCTAGCAGTCCCTTCTCAGCGTGCAGGGAGTCCACGAGTTCCCCAGGAGGACGAAGACAGAGAAAGTTAATTCAGAGACCACGAAAGCCAGTACCATCATCCGACTGAGGATGTCCCCAACCACTGGGACGAGAAGATCAGGGAGGTGCAAAATCAGTTTGGTGATGCCCTCAACGCCATCAAGGCGCAGGTGCTTGAAACCGTGGACTACTTGGTAAGACGTACTGATACGTCTTTTATTGCTGATATTATCAATTACCCTCTGCCTTCAAAATTCAAGATGCCCTCCATCTAGATTTTCAATGGCACTAAAGACCCCTTCGACCATCTTGACACATATAAGTCCCTCATGCAACTCCACAACGTACCTGAGGAGATTATGTGTAGAGTCTTCCCTACCACCTTAAAGGGGTCTGCTCGCTAGTGGTTCTCTAAGATCAGACCCTCCACCATCCGTTCTTTTGCAAAACTCAATAGGTCCTTCGTCTCCCACTTCATTGGTGGACACCGACATCAAAAATCAGTGACCCACTTGCTCACAATCAAACAGGACAAGGATGAAAACCTCAGAGACTACCTTGTCCGTTTCAATGAGGAGGTGCTCTAGATCGAGGAGCCAAATGATAAGGTAGTCTTGGCTACCTTTAATTGTTGGTCTTCGCACCTCTAGTTTCATGTTCTCCGTACTTAAGAAGTCGTCCTCCAACATGCCTGAGTTGTTGTTTAGGGCACAAAAATACATGAACGCCGAGGATTTTACCAAGGCCAGACGAGGCGAGTCCTCCCATGGGATCGAGAAAAGAAAAGACGCCCGCGAAGATAGGTGGGAGGCGGAGAACAAGAGAAAGAGAACCGAAAGAGTCTCTGTCAAGGACCGTCTTGGTCCGTACCCCCTGAGAGAACGAAAGTCTTTCATGCCACTCAACGCCTCGATGAAGCATATCCTATTCCAGATACAAGATGACCTCGGCCTGGAAAAATGAAGTCCGTCCCAAATCGTAGAAATCACAGCAGGTATTGTCGCTTCTACCGCGACCATGGCCACGACACTGATGACTACTATGAGCTTAAGAAGTAGAACGAG